TGAGGCAGACAGCGGGCGCGAGGCGCGGCTCAGGCGGCGCGCTGGAAGTGCAGGCCCAGCACGGGGCGCAGCTGGAGAGCAGGGTGCGCCACCATAGGGCGAAGTCCGTGGAGCCCGAGGACTGGTGGGTGCGCCTGGGGGACTGGCAGCGGGTGCGGGACCCGGCGAGGCAGTGGCAGCAGAAGCAGGCCCCGGGGGTAGGCGCCGCACAAGGCGGGGCGAGCTGAGTGCCAGTGGCCCCACGAGCGGCCGTGCCACCTGCGGGCAGAAGCTCATGGCCACAGCCTGCTGCAGCGTGGCAATGGCCGAGGTGACCTGTGGTGGTGGAGGTGGCGGAAAGAGGCCCACTCTCTGGCCCAGCTCAGCCTGCTGCACCATCTCCCGGTCATACTTGACGATCTCCTGGATGATGGCATTCTCCTGGTTGTTGAACACTCCAGAGTTGAGGTCATGTTGTACCTTGTGCAGCAGAATTGAGTTCTTCTTGCCTGGGGACAGGGGAGGTGTCAGTGCACAGGGGAGCGCCTCCTGTATATAGTAACCAGGTATTGGGCACCAACACTACAACCAATAGGCACAGAACATCTGCATACAGCAAGCGGGTAAGGCATCTACTCTTTACGGCCAGTGCACATACACCTGTGTGTATTGCGTGCCTCCTGCATACAGTGTACAGGTATCCTCACCTACTTTCTACAGCCTGTATATATAGATGCATAGTGAATGTCTCCTGTAGGCACCCTGGCTGGTGTTGCTCAGGGGTTAGAGCACCAACCCAAGTACCAAAGGGTCTTTGGTTCAATTCCTGGTCAAGGCATGTACCCGGGTTGCAGGTTCACTCCCTGCCTCCAGTTGGGGCGCATGCAAGAGGCAGACCATCGATGTGTCTCTCTCACATCTATGTTTCTCCCTCTCCCTCTCTCCCTCTCCCTCTCTCCCTCTCTCCCTCTCCCTCTCTCTCTCCCTCCCTCCCTCTGAGAAGCAATGGAAAAACTATCCTCATGTGAGGATTAACGAAACAAAAACCATAATCAGTAGGCATACAGCTCTGTATTGAGTGCCTCTTGCATATAGCAATATAGTAGGATATTGGCACCTACTCTGTACAGCCTATATGTATACACCTGTGTGTATTGAATGACTCCTGTACACAGAGGGATGGTATCTTGTGTCTGTTGTGTATGGGAAGCAAAAATTGAGAACCTCTATATAGCAGGTATGCATTATCTATATTCAACAATCAGGGATCAAGCACCTGTTGTGTATAGCAAGCACAGAGCATACATAAAAGCAGGTATGAGGCACCTATGTAAACTGTCAGCATACATGGAGCATTTCCTGTATATAGCAGTCATGTATTGAACACCTGCAGTATACAGCAACACACCCAGAATACCTGCCTGTTCACAACCAGAGTGCCAAGTGTGTAACACATATAGAGCAAGCCTGTGTTGAGGGCCTGCTGTATATAGCAAGCAAGTTCAAGCACCTGTCACTTACAAATATGTTTAAAATCTACTGTTTAGAGAAAATTGTTGCAGTGCCTTTTGTATATAAACATCTATTGAGCACTTTCTGTATACAGGGAAGTCGTCCCTCTAACCCCTCTCCACCCCACCCAGTCCTGCTTTTCCAGCCATTGTCTTTATTCCCACAAATAGCAGCAAGGGTTGCCATCTCCCTGCCTCCTATGTATAATTGTCAGCAAGTCCTGAGGGCTCCACTTCCCAACCATTCCTGAGATTCCCTACACCCAAGGCTACCATGTCCCACCCAGACCAGGTCACCATCTCCCTCCTGTGTATACCTTTGTAGAATACAAATCTGATCAGGTCCTCTCCTGCCTAGAACTGTCTGTGGCTCCCTGTTGTTCCTGATTTATAGTCCAAATGCCCCCCCTTCCAGCCCAGTAGGGCCCTGTGTGCCTGGCTTCTTGCCTCCCTCCCCAGCCTCCCTACTCTTAGCTTCCCTGGCTCTGTGGACTCCAGGCCTCTTTATCATCTCAGGGCCCTTGCACATGCTGCATCCATGTGCAAAGAATATGCCTTCTCATTCTGGCAACACCTACTAATCCTGGTCTCCACTTAGTATCACCAGGAAGCCCCACCACTCCCACATGCTCTGTGACACAAGCTTCCTGAGGGCAGTGCCTGAGGCATCTTCATGGCCCACCAGCTATACCTCCTGGCACACAGTAGGTGCTTAGCAAGTGTTTGCTAAATGGTCAGAGTTCACACTTCTCCTTCCTTGGGAAACCAGGGCTGTGTTTGGTCAGGGGAGAAAACCTGTCAGAGAATCATGTTTCCTGTGGGTCAGCCAGGCCACACCATCTCCCATCCTGAGCATAATTTCCCCTATGGCCATAGAGGGCTGACAGCCAGGCCCACTCACCAATGCGGTCCAGGCGGTCAATGGCAACGGTCTCAAAGGCCCGCCGCATCATGGGGTACTCCTCCAGCACCTCGTTGAAGTTGTCCACACTCAGTGAGTAGAGGCGGCAGTAGGTGTCAGCCCGCACACTTGCTGTGCGCCGGCCCCGCGTTAGCAGGCAGATCTCTGTATGTGGTCAAGGGAGGCACCTCAGCAGCTAGGTTACATCCAACTGCCCCCTATTTATCCCTGGGGTACTCCCAGCTGCACTAGCACAGTCCAGCCCACACCTCTGCTAGTGTGGCCCTTCTAGCCAGAAGTCTTTTCTGCCAGCACTTCTGTGTCCTCCCCACCGTCCCCTCCACCCCCAGGAAGGGTCCAGCTTTGTATTGCCTGGTTCCTGGTCCCTGTAGACACTAACCCCCGAAATAGGAGCCATCGGATAGCTTCATCTCCTTGTTGCCCTTGGTGAGCACACTGACCACGCCGTGCTGTATGAAGTACATCTTCTTGCCAATGGTGCCCTCACGGATGATGTAGTCACCTGGCTGGAAGACCTCAAACTTGAGTTTGGTCAGCATGGCTGTGACAAAGTTGGGGTCAGCGTTGGCAAACAGTGGCATCGAGGCCACCAGCTTCCGGCAATTAAAGTTCACAATCTCCTGTAGGGGCAGGAGGCAGGGTTGATGTCAGGGCACAGGTTGAGCTCTTGCATCCATCTTACCCTACCTTTGGGACTTGTTTTACCTCTCAGACCCCCAGTTTCTTTATGAAGTGGGTTTATCACAGCCTGAAGGCCAGCTTTTTACTTAATGGACAAATACTAGAGGTTTTGCCATGAAAGACTGGAGCAAGAGAAGATGTGCACTGATTCCATACTATTTAACACTGTATTGGCAATGCTGGTCAATGCCATTAGACAAGAAAAAGGAATTGCAGACATAAGAATTGGAAAGGGAAAATTAAAACTATCTCTTTACCATCTGCTTTAATGTGACTACCTGGAAACCCTTAGGAATCAATGGAAAGCTATAATAATAGGGGAAGTTACTCATGCTAGCAAGTGATATGAAAAGCAACAAAAACTAAGAACATTAAAATAAGCCAATGTGGTAGAAGTCAGGTTGACAGTTAACCCTGGCAAAAAAGTTGGGAGACTGAAGTGTTTCATGTTTGAGCTGGGTAATACATAGGGATTTCATTTTACAGAACATTGAGTGTATCCTTATGTAAAATGGATACACTGTAAGATGCATGTCAATAAAAAGGAAAGCTCACCTTAAAAGAAAATCAACAGGTTTTGTATACACAAACAGTAAGTTCTCAGAAGTATAATGGATGAGCCCTGGCCAGGTAGCTCAGTTGCTTAGAGCATCATCCTGATACACCAAGGTTGCGGGTTTGATCTCCAGTTAGGGTACATACAAGAATCAACCAATGAATGCATAAGTAGAACAACAATGTTTCTCTATTTTTTAAAAAGAACAACAATAAAATGGACAAGAAGACCCCATTTACACCAGCATAAAGAGCTACACAAACTGGTGTGGCCTGAAGGTAACATGTCCAAACCTATATGAAGAAAAATGGAAAATGCTCCTGAAGGGCACTGAAGGAAACATGAACACTGTTCTTAGATAGAAAACCTCACCATCATAAAGATGAAAGATGTCCATTCTTCCTGTTCATTTACATATTTCACATGATCCCAATGAAAATACCACCAGGTTTGCTTTCTAATAATTGGAGATAGTCAAGTTCATTTAGAACAAGTGAGCAAAAATAGCAGGAAATCTATGAAAAGGTAGAGCAGGGAGGTGGGACTTGCCCTCTCAGATATTAAAATATTGTAAAGCCTCACACACACAGCACATAGGCCAATGGAATAGAGTAAAAGTCCAGAAAAGATCCAAGTACAATGGAGCTTTAAAGTAAAGGTGGCCCCCATGTCAAGGGACAAAGCTGGACATTTCAGCTCCACAGCAGAAGATGATGTTGAATCCCTTCCTCACACCATACTTTAGGATAAACTCCAAAGGGACCAAGATCTAAATGTAAAAACAGGTCTGCAATGGCAGCATAGGAAGGTGCTGAATTTGCCCCCTCCCATTCCAAACTGAAACATACACCGACGAAGACAATTACTCTGTAAGACAACTGAGGGCTGAATGAATAGCTTCTTGCAACAAACAAAAGAGAGACCAAACAGAAGGCTTTGGAGTGGCAAAACCTCTCTGGGAGCTGTGGGAACTCTCCAGGGCCAAAGGGGCTGGTGAGGACCATTGTTCGGGTCTCTTCTATGTAGATGGGGCAGGCATCTAAGATAGAGCTCTATTCTGGGGCTTTGGCTTAACTGCAAGGTCACTGCAGTGTGTTCCCAGCCTTTTGCCTCCAAAGGGACAGCAGAGCATCACCACACCCACTGAGCCTCACCACCCAGAACCGCTCTGACTTGGGCCAGTGCCCTGGATGCCTTAGGCACCTGCTTGGCTCCCACCAGCTTCCCCAAATCACCTGGCACACACAGCCCACAGAGGCCATGGTCTACATAAGTATAAACAAATAGAGAAATCAAATAAAAAGACAAGAATATCTTTAAAATGAAGAAACAAGCAAAATATCAAAAAATAAAAAAAAAAGGAAAAAGAGATAAGTGGTCATAAGGATGCTCACCAAACTTGAGTGGAACAGAGGAACTAAGGGGAAACTTCAACAAAGTGAATGTATAAGAAAGAACAGTTACAACAACAAAATAACAAAGCAGACTTGAAGAATACAATACTGAAATGAAAAACACATTAGAAGGAATCAACAACAGACTAGCTAACAGAAGAAGGCATCAGCTACGTGGAAGACAAACTAATGGAAATCAACCAGTCAGAACAGCGGAAAGAAACAGGTATTTTAAAAAAATGAGGATAGTTGCCCTGGCCAGTGTGGCTCAGTTGGGTGAGTGTCATCCATGCACTGAAGGGTTGCCAGTTCAATTCCCGGTCATGGCACACACCCAGGATTCGGGTTCAATTTCCAGTCAGGGTGTGTGCAGGAGTCAACTGATCAATGTTTCTGTCTCACACCGATGTTTCTCTCCCTCTCCCTTCCTCTCTTTCTAAAATCAATAAAAACATTAAATAACACACAAAACAAGGATAGTTTAAGGGAATTCTGTGATAACATCAAGCAGTCAAACATTCACATTATAGATATTCCAGAAGGAGAAGAAAGAAAAAGGAACAGAGACTTAAAGAAATAATGAATGAAAACTTTCCTAACTTAGGAAAGGAAACAGTCATCCAGGTCCAGTAAGCACAGAAGATTCCAATCAAGATGAACCCAAAGAAACCCACACCAAGACATATTGTAATTAAAATGGCAAAAGTTAAAGACACAGTTTAGAAGGCAGCAAGATGATAAGAATTAGTTACATACAAAGGGAAATCCATAAGGCTATAAGCTGATTTCTCAGAAGCAACATTACAGGCCAGAAAGGAGTGGCAGGACATTTAAAGTGCTGAAAGAAGGAACCTACAACCTAGCAAAGTTATTCAGAATTGAGGGAGAGAGAAAGTGTTCCTCAGACAAAAACTAAAGGAGTTCATCACCATTAAACCAACTTTATAAGAAATGTTAAAGGGGGTCTTTAAGTAGAAAAGACCATAACCAGAAATAAGAAAATATGAGAAAGGGGAAAAAAATCTCGCAGGTAAAGCCAAATATTTAATAAGTACAGCAAACTGGACATTTAAAAAACTAAGAAGTTCAAAAAAGTATCAAATTCAATATAAACTACAATAAGCTACATATACAACACAAAAAGATATAACACATGATAACACATGATAGCAACAACATAAAGTGTGTAGGAGGGAGTAAAAATATACTCCTTATAAAATATATTTGAATGTAAGTGCCTATTAGCTTAAAATAGACTGCTATAGATGTAGAATGATATACATAAACCTCATGGTAACCACAATAAAAAGAAAACCTAGCCCAGCCTGCGTGGCTCAGCGGTTGAGCATTGACCTAGGATCCAGAAGATTGCAGTTCAATTCCCAGTCAGGGCACATGCCCTGGTTGTGGGCTCGTACCCAGCAGGGGGCGTGCAGGAGGCAGCCGATACTTGACTCATCATTGATGTTTCTCTCCCTCTCCTCCTCTCTCTAAAATCAATAAAAATATACTAAAAAACCTACAGTGCCCTCTCCCTCCCAGGAGCACATGGGCTTGTTTCCCCTCTTTCTTCTCTAACAGGTACATTACCTTTACCTTTCTCTATCCTAAGCTCCAAGGGCCCTTATTTTGCCTTTGTAACTTTCTAAGTAAACTTCCCTTATAGTTTGGGGGGAGGGGGGGAACACCATACAAAAGATATATAAGAATTAAGAGAAAGTAACCCAAACAAATCACTAAAGATAATCAGTAAACCACAAGAAATCAGGAGATGAAGAAAAGGACCAGAAGACAATTAACAAAATGGCAAAGAGTATGCACTTATCAATAATTACATAAGCTATAGATAGATTAAATGCTCCAATAAACAGATGTAGGGTGGCTGAATGGATCAAAAGCAAGGCCCATTTACATGCTGCTTACTAGAGACTCACATCAAATTAAGACACAAACAGACTAAGAGTAAAGGGATGGAAAAAAATATTCCAGGCAAATAGAAATGAAAAGAAACCTGAGGTAGCAATACTCATATCAGCCAAATAGGCTTCAAAACAAAAAAGGTAAAAAAAGACAACAAAGGATATTACATAATTATAAAGGGGTCAATCCAAGAAGAGGATATAACAATCATAAATATCTATGGACCCAACATAAGAGCACCTAAGCACATGAAGCAAATATTAATAGACATAAAGGGAGAAATTCACAGTAGCACAATAATAGGGAATTTTAATACCCAACTCAAATCAATCCAGACAGAAAATTGATAAGGAAATAATGGATTTAAATGTCACCTTAGAAGAGATCCACTTAATAGATATTTATACATCATTTCATCCAAAAGCTGCAGAATACAAATTTTTTTCAAGTGCATATGGAACATTCTCCAGGATAGATGATATGTTAGGCCAGAACACAAGCCTCAATTCAAGAAGACTAATCATATCAAGTATCTTTTCAGATCACAATGGTGTGAAACTAGAAATCAACTACAGGGAGAAAATTGGAAAAAACACAAACGTGGAGACTAAAAAATATGCTACTAAACAACCAATATGTCAAAGAGGAAATCAGACAAGAAATTAAAAATGACCTTTAAAAATGAAAATTAAAACACAACAATACCACATTTATGGGATGGAGCAAAAGCAGTTTTAAGAGGGAAGGTCATAGCCATATAGGCTGACCTCAATAAATAAAAAATCCCAAACAAACAATTTAACTCTACACCTAAAGGAACTAGAAAAAGAACAAACAAACCAAAAGTAGAAGAAAGAAAATAGTTAAGATCAGAGCAGAAATAAATGAAATAGAAATGTAAAAAAATAGAAAAGGTCAATAAAACGAAGAGCTCATTCTTTGAAAAGATAAACAAAAATGAACAAATTCCAAAAAAAAAGAAAATTATAGGCCAATATCCTTGATGAACATAGATGCAAAAATTCTCAACAAAATATTAACAAACTGAATTCAACTATACATTAAAAGG